TTGTGAACAAGACAAATATATATGAAGTTAATGTTCTTATATATATATATATATATATATATATAAACATTATTTTGGTCTCACACTACAGATTATTTGAGAAAACTTAGGAAAGACCTTTTAGTCAATGATAAATTTGTCGACATGTAGAACCTCTCTGGTTCACATGCTGGAATCCTATATGGATTGTCTAAGATTCACAAAGAATGTGTTTCTGTTAGATCGATTGTCTCAAACGTAAGCACCTTCTCTTACCGATTATTTTAACTAGTTTTTTTCGAAAGGTCATTCTACACAATAATATATTATAGACAACAATTTTGGCTTTGTCAGTTGTGTCAAATGAGCCAATTTTGGAAATAAAGTTTTTATGGATAGTTTTTTGTTAACTCACCATATACCAACGATCTTCTCGAAGAAACCATTGATTTAACTTGTGACCTGGTTTTTGTTTCGTCTGAAAAAAAAAATGTTTTTACTGATTTCAATAAACCATTTGGATGTTTCGAATAAACAGTAAAGCTATTTAGCGTCCACTGTTATTGACCATTCAGTGAAACTACCTCAATAATTGTTATTTATCGACTAGTAAAGCTACTGCAGCAAAAATTGTTATTGATCATAGAGTAAAACTACCACAGCAACTTGCTGTTATTGATCATAGAGTAAAACTACTGGAATTGTTATAAAGTAGCAAAATTTATTCTACTGCAAAATTATGTATTTACGGTATTATGTTATATTCATAGAAAAGGATACATGCATAAAATAGCTCTATATAAAGCGTAAAACACTTATAACCTTTGTGGAAGACTACCAAAAATGAATAAATAGTGATATGTCTCACGTGTTTCTTTTGTTTCTCTGTACGAATTGTAAAATAACTTAATTCTATAAAGGGTCTCTATCAGCCTAATGCTGAATTTCAACAGTTCACTTTAATAGTTATATTACACCTTTTCCTTATAAATTAAAAGCAATAAAAAGAATTACATTAAGCCCTTGTGGCCTAATGGATAAGGCTTCGGTTTCCTAAACCGGAGATTGCGGGTTCGAGTCCCGTCAAGGGTAAGAGGGAATTTAATTTTATAATATATCTTAAATGTTAATGCAAAAATGTATATTCGATAATCATTCACAAAACCATAAATTCGTATTAGTTAGTTAATTATGGAAACTTCTTTTTTGTAAAAATTGTAGCAGTTTGTAAGGGTTTTATGGAGTATTGTCTCTGAGGGAATATCATCTGGAATTTTTACTCAGATATTATTACAATTAGTTTCACAACAATCTGAAGAGATTTTCGTTACCCATAGCTTTTACCAGCTCACGTGTAGAGCGTCCCCAATCTAAACAATGTGAAAATATTTTCCTTACCCTTCAGTTATAACATCTCAAGTGTAAAGCGTCCCCATATAACGTCACCACTTTCTCTTACACCTTTTTAAATATTGTTTGAGTTGTTTTGTTTTTTGCTTTTATTTTTCAAATTTATCCAGCCACCCTTTCTGTTTCATATTTTCCTTATTTTTGTTTGATTTATCACCTTTTCTTTTCCATTATGGTTATGTTTCATTCAATTCTCCCTCATGTACAGGCTGTGGCGGATTAACTACCACCGGGGCCCCTAGGCTGAGCTTTACTAAGGCTCCCCCTGATCATGCCCCCTACCCCACCCTTCGTTGAATAGAATAAAGTGACGTTAAGTTACGTTAAATAACTTATATCGTTGTACTCTGTATAATATACTACATGTATAATATCATAAAGTTATAGGAATCAACTACGGCCCTTTTATTCATTTATTTTTCATTTTCTTTACATTTGTAGTTTTAAAAAGTTCCGTGTTTTTTGGTTTACAAAAGTGTCGATAACAGCATGTAAATCAACAGATCGAAGCATATCTGATTCAATGTGCCAGATAACTAAGTTTCTCATCGCTCATTGTTGAGCGCAAATAGGTTTTGATCCTCTTCAGTGCCGAAAATGAACGCTCATCTGAACAGTTAATGATCATTAAGGACGGATAAATTCTAAAGCAAATGTATGTATTTGGATACACCTCGTGCAGTCGATCTCTTACCAGAGCTCGATACATCCCAGTAACAGTGACATCATCATCGGATTGTCCTTGAATGTACTTCTGAAAGTGGACGAGCTCTTTCACAAAGGCCAAGTCAAAGTCGTTTGGATTATAGTCGTTGTATGAGGGTATTCGCTGCCTTTTTATGTGCGTCGACATCAATATTGCAAATACAAGAAAGAAATGCAAATCGGTTGGACACAGATCTATATGCTTCAGTGCGTCTTTTAAGCTCTGCTGATAATTTCGGTAAGTACACATTAATCTTGAAACTCTGGCAAGGTGAAAAATCTGTTGCCTGTGCTTTGCCATCATATCTTGTTATCGTGGTACAAACTTTTCGCTTCCTTTGCGTTTCTTCTGTGTAAAGTGATGTCCCAGCCTTTGCAATGCCTTCTTGCTCAATGTTCTCAAATGAGTCATTGGTCCTGAGGTCTGAGATATAGGCCTCCAAAGACTGCAAAAGTCTCACGCCTTCGTTAAGATCTATTTCTGGGTTTTGTAAAATCAAGCTGGTTTTGTGGAATCGCTACAAAATTGTTGCCCAAACGCTGAGAAGTATTCCATACTCCAGAGATTCCATTTTGCTTACAAGACCTCTGGCTTCTTGTCGCATGTTTGACTTTTCATCTGGATTGTCAGCAATGCTTTCCAATGCTGATTTTACTTTCTCGTATCCCTGATCTAGGGTGGCAGTAGTACTTTGCGTGAGCAGACCAACGAGTATCCACGTGTGAAATATCAGTGGTTGAATCCACAGATACTGAAAAATGTTTGGCTTCTTTGAGTTCCAATATAATTTTCTCTAACATCTTTTGTCCAAGCATTTCAATCAGCTCATCGCATACTGTGGATGAAAGGTAGGACACAGAGCCTTTACCCTTATTTCCATTATGTTCAATATGAGTTGCCAAAAAAGGATCGAATTGCGCTAGCAATTCTAGTTTCCCTAGAAAACTGCCATTGTTTGATGATCCGATACACTCGTTGTGTCCCCTAAAGGCTAGTCCCCGCTCAGCAAGAATTTTAATTGTAGCGACAACCCTATCCAGAAGTGTTTTCATGTAATCACATTCTGATTGTCGAGTAATCAAGCTGTTTACATATCCAATACCTCGAGACCTTGTAGTGAGGGTACTGGTCGCATCTCGATGACCTTGGCTGTTTTCAGGACTTTCTGATCTTTGACTTGCATTTTTCCAGTCAGAGAAGCCATGCTTCGAAAAAGTATGGTCTTTACTTGAATTTGTAAACAGTTTGCAGTTAAAACAGAATGCCTTATCTGTGTTTGGAGAATAACACAGCCAACTTCTGATTTTCTCGCCATTTGTAATGGAGCGGTAAAACATGGACTTACTAAAGTAACGTTTCTGTTTACCGTCATATTCTATAGATTTCACAATACTGGCATTCATGTTCCAACAGGCTTCGCTCCCTGTCGTTAACCAGTATACGAGCATGTCTTCTGTAATTTTGTCAGGTCACATGCCAAATCACTCTCCATTGACTTCGACGACTTGTCTGCGATTTCTCCATCATCGGATCCAGAATGAACTTCACGTTGCGATTCTTCGCCTACTTTTGCATGGTCCACATCATCAAGTACTGCTTCTTTTGCTGGTTTACAAAACTTGTCAAGCTTGGATGTATTATTTTGTAGCCTCTCTTGTTCTCTTTCTTTTTTTGTGCTCCACTTTTATGTTTGTATTCCCTAGTAGCCATTTTGCAGAAGAAAAACTGCCAACAACACAAAATACTAGTATGAACAGAGAGCTTTAGGTTCACGTTTTCATTGTTGACACCAATTCGTGACGTAATAACGTCGGCATGGTAAACACAATCTCGCGGTTGCAGTACGAAGTCCTAAAAGCATTACTTCTAAATGTTTATATGTTTGGAGCTTAATTTAGAGAACAAAATAGTATTTGTAATATTCAAGATATGAAAAAAATATATGCAAAAGTACTGAAATATCACCCTAAATACTCAGGTGTACACTCAAACCATTTTCTGTACACTCAATTAAACCTTTTTGCTATCGGGCTCCACCCCCCCCCCCTTCCAACCCTCTAGGCTTAAGCCTATTCAGTCTAATGGTTAATCCGCCACTGTGTACAGGGTGAATAGCGAAACCTAACCTTTGACCAGTGAATATGAATTCTTCAAAATTTTGTGAAATATTGATTGTAAGGTAAAATAACAAAACTTTTATGCTAACATTAATTTTAATCTGATAAATAAAGAATTAATTTGATTTTTAAATGTACCTTAAGGTATTACATTTATCAGTTTTTAAATATATTTGCTTTTTCTGGATATCTATGAAGTTTATTGACAAAGGAACCTTTTGCTTATTATTGGTAATCTTCCCAAGTAATTCATAACCTGGAGGATAGCCTTGGTGTACCTGAATGATGTCATTGTGTTTGCAACAACGTTTGATGAGGAAATGTCCCAGCTAGAGGAAGTATTCAAGCGTTTGAAAGCAGCAAACCTCAAACTCCATCCCAAGAAATGCCACTTGTTCCAGAAAGAGGTGCTCTACTTGGGTCACATTGTTAGTGAGCATGGTGTGCGAACTGATACTGACAAGGTGAAAACAGTGTGTGATTGGCCAACACCAGACAATGTGAGAGAGTTAAGAAATTTCTTGGGACTCTGTACCTATTACCGGAAGTTTGTGAAGGACTTTGCAACTATAGCTGCTCCACTACATGATTTGTCAAAAAAAGACCAGAAGTTCAAATGGGCAGTTTCTTGCAGCATGCTTTTAAGACATTGAAAGG